ATGAGTACACAACGATGACTAAGAAGCTTTGGCTAGAAATGGCTGACTTTGTTTCATTTTTCTAAAACTCAGAAGAGATTCATACAATGACCTTAAACCATCACGCTGCTTCTTCGCCTTTCCTTCCATCTAGCACTGGGCAAGGGGTTGTCCTTGTCCTGCATATCCCAGCTTGCAGAGTTCTCTACTGTGTTTGGAAGATTTGAGCAACAACAACATATCAGCGCTAAGAAATACTAAATGAAGAGACAGAAAGAAAACGATCTCTTTGTTAACACATTAGAAATTCAGGAGGATTGAATTCAGTCCCCAGCTGTGCCAACAGCTCCCCATAAAACACTTCAATCCTCACTTCCCATACGGAGCTTCACCACTTACACAAGGTTAAATCTTAGCCTTTGACTCTGAATCCTAGGTTTTAGATCTGACACTTATGTATGACTCGTATCAGTCTGATTAGTTATTGTGTATGAAATTCAGGTCAAAACGAAGACACTGAAATATAGGCATCTGAACTCCCACTAGAGGCAAAAACTCAAGATCCAGAAGCAAAACAACTGACTCGGCTCGTTCTGAAGTGCCCATCTTCTGGCTGGTCCCTCTTGGCTCTCCAAACCCCACCAATTGCACCAGCACTGATCTCCAAGGACAAAGGAGAACTCCATTTTCTAGCCACTGTGGCCTTGCACTGTATCCTTTCCTCAGATTCATTCACAGTCCCGATCACGCTGATGCTGTGACAACGGGAAGCCACCCACCACATCAGACCTGCAAACATACCACAAACTTCTGCCAACCATGTTTTCACAGACACCTTAACCAACTCAAACAACTTCTCCCAGCAAACTTACAACACACTAATACTTACTGACAGATAGGACCCTACCGTGGAAATACTGCCTCCGGCACCCTGGTACTATAGGACACAGAAAAATCTGTTTTACCGCAGTTAAAGGAGTTGTTCGGGACATGAAGGTGCTATGATACATTAAATCTGGACCGAATATATACAGAAGGGTCAAGATCTTTATTTACCAGATACCAATTGTTATCAGACAAGCTAACCTGAATGTTTGTCTTCTACTTGAAAGAGGAAGGTGTTTCTGGGATAGAAGAATCTTCTCCAGAAAAATGAACACAAAGACAGTCCAGATTTAATGTACTGCAGAATCTTCATTTTCTGAAGGATTCTTGTATCTGCAGTCCTTCTCAAAATTGAATACAGATTTTCTTATATGTTTTACAACAACAGCACAACAGAGCTCGTAATTTCATGGAGAAGCTCTAACACATGGGCTGTATAATCTAGAAGATGAGTCTAAGTATGCACAACTGTTTAAAACACAAGTTCTACACGAAGCTGGAAGGTTCTTTTAAAAATACTCCTGCATTGTAACGAAAATTCAGTGTAAGTCAGCTAGGCTTTATGCTTCTTATACCTGTTACCTTCAAAATGCTAGAATTTCTGATGCAATACACCAGGTTCATATTATTCTTAGTAGATACTACTAGACATTGAGACTTTACATCATGATAAGAAGAGTAACAGAAAACACTTTTTCACTAAATTATCATTGCATCAGATATGACTGTTTACATGAACATCCCACAGATTACCCAGAAGAACCTGGCTGGTTTTGCAATGGTTTGCCACACATCCCTTGTGGTACCGTTGTTTTAACACGAGATTACATGGCATATAGCCACGAATCCAAAAATCCCAACGCTGCATTTAGTATGTGCTGCGTTAACTGGTACAAAACACTGTCGTAGGTGTTTTGTACTGGCACGAATTCTGTGCCACACTACCACATCTCATTTGCTGTTTGCCACTGTTTACAAAGAGGTGGCTGCTTCCTTCTATAAAATAACTAACGGTAATAGAATTAGGCAAATCTTTACAAAGGTAATCCAGTGTGAAACACTGCATCTAAAAGCAAGCACATTTTTTGGGGCAGTGGCTTTCTTCCTTTATAGAGCTCTTCGCTTTGTCAATATGCAGAACATAAGTCTGTCAGCAAACTCCGCATTTGTTATCAGCTCATTCTCCTTAGATGGCAAGACTGTAAATATTTTTCTTCATTATCACCCTGACAGTAAATAACTTTGCAGGTGTGATTTAATCAACAGGAATG